TGTATGTGTGTATGTGTGTGTGTGTGTGTGTGTGCGTGCGTGCGCGCGTGCGTGCGTGTTTGTTAACTTTATTTATTTAAGTGTTAGCTGACCAGTCCTCTCTGTTTTTTCCTATACTACAGCGCCACCACGGCCGCACATACGACCTCTATTACGTCAGTGCCCCGGATATCCGCTCCCAACGCCGTGGAACTCTACCTAGCCAACGGTCACGGCAAGTGCGATCAACAACAACAACAACATCATCAACAACAACAACAACAACAACAACAACAACAACAACAACACCAACAACAACAGTCACATTCCCGCACCAACTCGCCTCCCCAGCAGGTAGACAAGACGCACGGCGGCATACACAGCAAGCAACAACAACAACAACAACAACAACAACAGCAGCAGCAGCAGGACAGCCTAACGCAGAAGCACAGTGTGCTTGCGCAGCAGCTTCAGGCGCCGATCGGCAACGGCATCCACATCAAGACTGAGAAGCCGGACGACCTCGGAGCGGCGCTCGCCGACGGCACGGTGACGCTGGCGACGATGACGACGATGGCCGTCAACAGCCCCATCATGATTGCGAACAGCGCTCGCGGCGGCGGCGCTGACTACACGGAGCTGCCGCCGCTCGTCAGCCGAAAGGAGCTAGAGATGAGCGGCGAGGGCCTGCCGCCCGTGTCGACACTCACGCGCAGCTATCAGAACCTCAGCTCGTTCACGCAGGCCGAACAGAACGTCTTCTTCACGACGACGCAGACGGGAAACGCGTGGCCCGTCAACGGACAGTTCGCCACGCAGAGCGGCGGCGGCGGCGGGGGCAGCAGCGGTGGGGGGTACGGACGCGGGCAGGCGGCCGCACAGGTCGTGACGGCACCCAGCAGTAGCGACTACTACCGCGAGTATTACTCGCCGACGAATGCCGACTACTACACGATGCGTAGCGTCGATCCGACATACGCCGACCCGTCAGATGGCGCCTTTGTCGACCGCTACATGCGACAGAACGGAACCGGAAACGGAAACAACAATAATAATAATAACAACAACAACAATAGTAATAAGTACACGAGCCAGCATCACCTGCACGTCGAGCTGTCGTCGCCAGACAGCGGGATCGGCGACGGTGGCGTCACGCCGCGGGAGGTCCTGGGTCAAGTAAGTTTTTTCGTCATTGCTAATTTTGCGTACCTTTCGTGTGTGATTCGTTATGGTATTATTATAATTATGAGTAAATAAATAAATATATATATATATATATATTATATATAGCTATAGTCGTATATAATGTTCTCTAACACCTCATATTAATATTTATATTCGAGCGGCATGTCAACGATTACTGGACAATATACAAATCGAGTATCATGAATTTCGTGTATAACTTATAAGTCGTTTAATTTTACCATCGAAACAATGGGACTCGATTCTCGCGTGAAACGAGTCACGGTTTTTATATCGGATGTTTCCCGAGGTGGTGCTGGCTATAGTTTATGATGTTCATTATAACACATTATGTTCGCAACACGCAGGTGTTTGACTACTCTGAGATTCCTCCGTCTATGATCATGCCCGGGGACGTCGATCGAGCTTCTGTCATCTCTAGGACAGAATGCAAGAGCGCCGAGAAAATCAGTCAGATCAGCTCCATACAGATTCCCAAGCTGTACGTAGACGCTCTATGAATATTTCTGTTGTATTTCCAAAGCAAAGGCTGAAGAACCGACGTTTACTATATATAATACGAACAACAAATTTATCCCACCGCAGTCCAGGCTGTCACGTTGTAGTTTGCGACTGGGGTCGAGGAAGTACTTGGTTTTATTTGGCCCGTTATAGCTAGTTCTGTATGGAGGCGGAAGCGATAGAGATACGTGGAAGAGCGGCGCATGTGGGAAGAATGGGAGGAACATTTAATTGTAAGAAGTAAGAAAGAGAGGATCCGGAGGAGGGAAGATGGAAGATGGGGTTGAGAGAGCGCCAGAGAGAGAGCAAGAGAGAGAGAGAGAGAGAGAAAG